TATGTTTGAAAAAATTGTTGCCCCTAGAACTAATAAAATTAGTTCTGCCTATTTTCAGCTGAGATCATCCACCTCACTAGAGGCATTATGATTTTTTTTTCAGTATAATTCTGAGTAGAAATATGTGGTCTAGAAATTAGGTTAGTGTCAGATCTCTCTACTCCTGATAGGTAGAACTTTACAAGGTAGAACTTTATTTTGCAGAGTGTCATAGTGACACATTTCAGGGAAAGATTTTTTGACACTGAACATGTTGGATAATAGTTATATGAAACAACAACTGCCCAAAGCCTTTCAAGTCCTAGGATTTTCTGAAATGATTTTGTAACTATTGTCTTGTCATTTTAAAATGCAATAATGCATCATACCTTCCCTTAAGACCATTAAAATACTATCAGTCTTGACTGTCAGAAGCGTTATGTTCACTTTTATAAGGTGCAAGAATTTTATGTAGTATTAATGGTCAATATTTTTTAAAGGTATACATCTCAGAAAGCTGATATGTAATATAGAAAAAAATAAAATAGCATCCTTTTAACTCTGTAGCAGTTTTTTACCTATACATTTTAATGAACTGGGTCACACTGTCTTCTGTGAGTTTAAAGGATGATGTGAAGCATTTGTTCCGGTTAAAATCCTCTGTTGGGTTCATTTAGTGTTTTCCAGCAACTGCAGTGGTTAAGGAGTTTTGAGAAATATGGTATTTTTCCTTGTAAATACTTCAAGAATGTCTTGAGTATGGTACTACTTGTTGATTTCTTCTTTCATTTATATCATGTCAATGTATCCCAAAGCACTCGCTAAAGCAAAGCTGTGCAGTGGGTGGTGGTTTTTTTGCGGGGTGGGCAGGACTTTTCTCCCATGTGGCAGAAGAGCAAAGAGATGATTTTCACTGACAGTCTCCTTCCCCAGGTAGAAAAATCAATACAACATTTTGTGGAAAAGCTCTGCTATGTCCTACTCTACCTCTTTAATATACTCTGGGAGGAGTGGAGAAATACCAAATCTGCACATAGAACAGCACAGCAAATCCATATCTGACATTGAATCAGCTAGGTACCAGCACTGGCAGTGCCTCTGGTGGAGGTGTTTTCAGGGTATCTTTGTGTGTGTGCACTTTTATAGATTTCTTTTTTCTTCTTCAGATTTTTAGGTCCTTCTTATTAAAGGGGCTTCCATGTTACAGTATGGTGGAAATGACAAAATCAGGAAGAGTACCAATGTTACAGTTTTTCACGTCTGTAAATTAGTACACCTATAGTAGGCACCTATAAAATAGTACATTTAGGAGAATGTGCAGCCTGTGTAGGGGTACACACATTGTATAGCTGTGCTCTGAGTCCCTTAATTCTGTAAGGAGCTGGGCTTTAACATTGGGCCTCTGCATCATGCCTAAGTTTAGATGTTGAATTTTTCCTAGGGAAAGGTTGAATTAAATTATTCGGCATTCTTGGAACTACTTGGATTTTAGGTCTAAAATTTGCATAGTCCCTGTGCGGTTACCATTTGCCTTGATCATAGGATCTTTCTTGAAATGTTATTAAAATACTAATTAAAAATATTAAGTGCACATGTGAGCTGCTGCAAAACCCAAAGGCAGGAATCAGCTGACAGTAGGTAAGAGTTGTTTTACTTACCCATGAGAAACATGTGGGTGAAAAAAAGAGGTAAGGAGGGAGAGGGACTGCTTGGAATTTTGAGTAGTTGTTTCCTGAGAGAGCTGGCGATAAAGTGGCAATGTATAAACTAAGGTAAGTTGTATTTTCTCTGCTCTCTGAGCAGGAAAGTGGCACTTTCTGCAAACATGTAGAAGAATCAACTTTCACTGCAGTAAAGCTAAACTAAGCCAAGTTTACATTCCTTCTGCAGAGGACACTGAAAGGGCACAAGAATACAGTGTTTGTAAGAAAAGAGTATTTGAAGGAGTTATGTATGGCAATGTTTTATGTAGATAGAAACAACAAAAGCTTTTTATATTCTGATAATGAGAACCAGGAAAATGCAAAGGTTTGGGTAAGCTTAGCGTTGGAGAGTAAAATTTTCATGAAGTGAGCAATGAGACAAAAAGAAAATTTGAAGCATGAAAATTCATGAAGAAATGATACTTAATATTACCTGTGCTTTTTTCTTTACAGTATTTTTGAATTTGTGTATCAGAGTTTAGGATTTTAAATGTTTGTATAGAAAGAGATGACTTGATATCTGATAGACATTCAAAGTTTTCCACAGGAGTAAAATTGGATTTCTTTTGCACCCTAAAACTAGGGCATGATAGATGAACTTAAACTCTGAAATTTTGGCTTATAAAATCAGAGACATGGATGTTGCTTTCTCAGAATGCAGTGTTTAGGAGTCTTAGAGCTTTTATTATTGAAATATCCAAGCCATGTGTGTGTATGTGTGTGTGTGTTTTCTCTGTAATCTGTACATGGCTTGGTCTTCAGTCTTATTTCTCCTTGGAGGAAGAGGTACACAGGTGTAGATTTTAGAACTGGGAGCGATACTTTTTGAGTCTGATGTTCCCAGTTAGCATTTGAAGTTGTATTATCTTCATTAAAGCAACAGTCAGTTAATGAAATGTTTAGCACTGTTTTTGGTCATATGTTGCTTGTCACTTTGTTTGCAGTATGCACACTTTTGTTGGTTTGTTTCCAGCATCAGAGTCAATTTATAACTTAAACTCTCAGAATTGTATTAGATATATAATACTTAATCTGGCTGAATGTATGTACGGGTATGTAATTACTCAATATTTGCCATAGTAACTTCAAGTGATTGAGAGGCCAGTTAAAAATTAGCATAAATTCTCACTGAATCAATTTTAATTGTCTCTGAAATGATAAATATTTAATTGTATGACCAGTGTTCTCTGATAGGTTATTCAATCTTGTATCACAAAATTGCTAATAGGATACTTGAATTCTATACCTTATCTTAAATATTGATTTGTATCAGTATTTCTGCTGCTTTTGAGCCTATGCAACGCGTTGGCAAATTAGTTTGCATGTGGCCTCTCTGAGCAGGTTGGATGCTCCCTTTTCTCAGGTGTTGATGGTTGAGTAAAATTCTGCACCACCTTAACCTTGCTGCCAATGCAATTCTGATGGAAGGGCCTTTCACTCACCTGCTTCCCGACTACTTACTTCCCATGATTTTAGACTGTATAAGTCCAAGGAGAGCAAATGAGAATATTTTTCTTTTTTGCCTGTATTCTTGCATTGTTCACAAGTCCAGATCCATACTCCAGCCTGAGTCCCTCCAAACTCTACAGGTTGTGCAGCTGGTGCTGCAAACTGTACTCCAACTAAGTTACTTCCAGCTTGGGAATATCTGCGTGTATTGTGCCATCATTCCAGTTACACCAGAAGCAGCCTGGTAGTTATGCAGCACATAAACTGCAAAGTATAAGAACTTGGGTTTTTATTTTGATCCTGTTTCTGTCATTAGCGTCTTGCCTTGAAGCCTTAAGGAATAGGATGTAGTATCTTCCTCCTGCCTACACCCTGTTTGCAGGGGACACTCAGCCTTGTTGTGCATGCATGTAATTTTATTGTTCGTAAATCTCCTGTATCTATGCTTTGAAGGCTTTTACGGCACCTGACTCTTTTTCAACAAGCAGTAACAGCTGGAAGCAAAGAAACACAGACTCTAAATTCATGTGTCTAGTTTCCAGCAGAACAGGATTTCTCTCAGCCAGCTGTGCCCTGCTGGGGCACTTTTAGTCAGAAGTTACGTCTTGCTTTGTAAGGTCAGGATTTTTTTATAGACCATCCAGATTAAACATAGAAGGATTTTATGACAAAAGAGAGAGGAGTCTTTACATTTCATCAAACTTTGATTTGATCAGTTTTATATAAGTACTTTTGTCACCAGCTTTTGGTTTTTTGATTTTGATTCAAGTGGTTTTTTTTTTTTTAATTAGAAAATGAATATCTTTCATTAGAAAGAAAGGTTCGAGGATGTTCTCTCACTGGAATACTTGCAATAAGAGATGTTAAGATGATTTAGTGTGTAATAAATAGAGCAATTTAATTTTTTTTCCTGTATAAATGTAGGCATTAAAACTTGTTGGGAACTTTTTTCCATAAAAGATTAACATTTTTTTCCTTAAGTTTGGTGTGAGGATGTTAGTTAAGTAGCTGACCACAGTAAAAACTAGTTTTTAAAAGGCTGACATATATGCAACAGTTGTTTTCTGTAGGACTAGTGAAAAAAAAAATTTAAAAAGTGAGTCAAATCTTGTAGCTTCTTGGTTTGGGTACAAATTAGATTTCCATAGTCAGTATTGCACTGGCAAGGGAGAGGCTTTCTTAGCTTAAAAGCCAAGTTGGTTATTTTTCAGGAAATGGCAGAGAAGTTCCTATGGGAATTTATGAACCATGTGTTTGGAAGAGATTGGTTTAGTGAGCTGAAAAAGCTCAGAAGAGCACTTACGCTTATATATCAGCCACTCTCATTCAGCAAAGATGACAGTGCCATAGAAAACCTCCCCAGAACTTCCTATTTTGTAGAAATTGTCTCACCAGGTTCCAATGCAAATAATGCATTTGTGATTTGTTTCTCTGATCCCAAGGGAATGTGACATATCTGTCTCAAAGGGCATCTCTGGGAAGAATACTCTAGAGTCTTATCCATACTTTCTGTATAGAGTTCCTCTCAGTACCATTTGAATTTGTGGATGGAGAAGACTGATACTGCAAAAGAGAGCATGGCATGGTGGGGAATATCGGCAATTGTTTTGTAGTACCTGGTCAGAAGATAAGCTACACGTTAAAAGGTGCTTGCTGTAAAGGTGTTACCATTAGGTAGGATACAGTTGTCAAAGGTGAGTGTTAGTGAGGAGAGGCGTTTTTCAGTAAATCTCTGTCAGAAAGATAAATAAAGTTGGTAAAGAGAAATTTGAATGCAGAACAGCATTTGCAAGTATAACTTGTGCTTATGAATGTTCTGAAGTGCAGAATGTTTTTCAGTAATGATAGTCCATGGTAGATTGTAACAACATGGAATTTAACAGAGCAATTCAGTACAACGACATAGTTGTCTTCTCAGTAAACTTAAGGGTAATAGTAGCAAATTTATTTACTACACTATAAAAATCAGTAAGACTGTATCTCCAGGCCAAGTAGTATCAGTCAACTGCTTCATATAGTCTGGAACTGTCAGGAGTACTTGCCTGGAATTAATGGTGCATTTTCCTGTGATGACCTTTTTCCTGCATGGACTCTGGACCAAGCAGTATCATTTAGACAGTGAGCATTACCTCAAATTGGGCAGTGGGTGCCAGATGGGGGAGAATTAGAGTTAGGGGGATGTGGCTGGGGAGGAGAGAAAATCCCTACAGCTTCAGCCTCCATGTCCCACCCCAGGCTGGCTCTTCCCTGGCACTGCTGTGGTTATCACTCTAGGGAATTTTGCCGCCCTTCTCCCTCACAAGGATGAAGTCAAAATAAGTTAATTTGTTTTCCTTTTGGGGATCGCACAATTAGGTTTTATCAAAGCTGCTGTGAAGCTGGAGCTGGCTCTGAATGCCACCCTCATCCTAGCTGCAACTCTGGATGGCCTTCTGAAGCATGTAGCACTGCATGACGTGATTAAGCCCCTGAGATGCTGCTTTGTTGCTGAACCTACTTGCAGCTATGTGCTAGAACAGGCATTCAGGTACTCCTCCTGACTGAGGACTCTCATTTTCCCCTGGATCAGGAGGATGAAAACAGGTTTAAAGCAACCTTTTGATCTTTACCATATGCTGTCGTCTTGTTCTAGTCATAGCACAACTGAGACAGAAAATGTGCCATTGTCTGAACAATAATGAAACACTAAACATGTGGAAATCCTATTAGTGTTTCATGGACCGGAGCTGTCATTTCATTTGTTCTGGAATTCCTTTGATATGGCTATGACAAAGGTTTAAGGTTGAGTTTCTTGACACTTGCATGCATTAGCTATTCCTCAGTCAAAAGTCTGTCAAGTACACTGAGGCACCTAAAGAGATGTATTTATTTCTGTAAGTAATATATTAAATAGTATTGGTAAGCTTAGTCTTAAGAGAGAAAAGCACAATAATAGAGTGTTGTGGGTTTTTCTTTCCTGGTGAATGTTAGTCAAATGTATCTGGTTTTTGTAAGCTGCTCTTTTTCTGCTTCTGGTTTTTGTATCTCTTCGTTCTAAGCAAGACTGCTACAAGCCTCTCTCTCTCTCTCCACTGTAAATTTTCCGAAATTTATGTACTTTGTAATTCATTTTCTCTATATAAATATACACAATCTGGTAGTATTAATTTACCATAATTATAAGCTGTGCAGCTAATGGAATTTCCATGAGTGAATATAAAAGAATCATCTGTGTTTTTCTTGTGTAACAGAAAATCGAGCTAAAAAGTAGGGCCCCTTTCTATTTAGTCTCCTTCCATACTCCTGGCCATGTCTATCACTCTGCTTTTTTTTTTTTTTTTTTTTTATTTTTAACTGTCAAAATTTAGAACAGAATATGTATCTGTTAAATGATCAGATATAAGACATCCATTTCCATTAAGTCTAAGCATGTGATATTTTTATGATGTTGTATGATGTGGAGCAAGGTAGCGTGAAAGTGATTCAACGCAGTTCTTTCTATGTATGCGAGCATATAGAGAAGGAGGAATGGTTGTTATTTGTCTTATTTGTTTCCATTTTCTTCCACCTAGCCTTTCTGTCTTGGAAATTCACCCTGATACCTACTAATTACTACTTTGTATTTAAAACATTTTAGTTATTATGTTTTACTATGCAAGTGCTGCAGTTGCTGCAGCCAAAAAAAAAAAAAAAAAAACACACACACTTTTTTTCCCCTTCATAAAGTGAAAAAGGGCAATTCACTTAGAGGTTTGATAACAATCAAGAATCAATAAATACAGGAAATTTTCAAAATTAGGTGTATTCCCTGCCAGTAAGATATGATTTGTTTTTTTTTGTGGTATCAGCATATGTTCAACTTCTTTGGAATAAAAGATGGGGGAAGAAAAAGGGCTCACACACGCATATTTAATAATAATAAAAAAGGACAGCTTTGAAATGTTTCATTAAAAACACCTTATGAATTCCTCTTACAGAGTTTTCCTTATGTTTTTGATGATTAGAGTTTGGAGTCTGAGTTCCACAGTTTTGGTAGGAAAAAGATCAACATTATTTCAACTGATTTCTGATGCAAAGATGTTTGTCCCATGCATCATTTATGTGTGTAAAACTCCGTTGGAAGAATGCTTTAAATCGGCAGTGATCTTCTGACACTGTGCAAACACCCTTGATAAGTGTTATTTTAGTACCAAAGAAAGGTGAGTCACAATTTTAGAGTATTTGTAAAGAGAGCTTTCCCACTGGTGTGTTCATATCTGTGATGCTTTCTGTCCTGGTCAAGATGAAGTGCAAATCTTTCAGTAAATCATGATTTCTGGTATTTCAGTGACTCTGGGAAAAGCAGTTTACTTGTTCTATTCTCTGATTGATTGTTGCATTTTTCATTTAACTAACCGTTGCTTATAGAGAGTCATACATCTTTTCAGAGTTATCTGTTTGCAAAACATGAACATTTTTACAAGAAAAGTAATTTCCTTGCAGTATAACATTTTTTTCCCCCCATAGCTCTTCCTGCTTTATTTTGGCACTTTTACCAGTTTCCTTGCATTGTTTTTCTGTCAGGGCCTGGAGTTGCTCAGTTAAATTTGTGTGATATGTGTGAGATTTGTGTGTAGCTATTTTGAAGTGACGAGGAGATCCCATTTCTCCTGTATGCCAAGGTATCTTTCTGTCTTTCCCAACCACAGAGCACTGTTCTTGTGGTGAAATGCTGATGCATAAACTCACTTTGTGCTGTCAGGTTGCCTTGTGGATTATAAGCTGGCAAACAGGGAGAAGGTGAACTTGGCACGGCTGAATGAATGTCATCTATCAATATGAAGCTCATAAGCACAGTATGGGCTGTTTCACTTACCTCTGTTTCTGCTTTAATTTGTAATTCAATTAAAACAAACACTCACCTGAAAGTCTTGAGGGATTGTCCAGTTAAGTTGTTCAGCGAGTGTCCACTTACGACACTCACTTTAAATTTCAGGTACCACAGTGTGTAGATTAGAGACTTGGAAAAAGCCATTCTCAACTTTTCTTGACGTGTGGTAGATGCCCGGTGTGGCTTTGCAAACACTAGTTTGCAGCTGAGGTGGAAGTGCTGCACCCTGGGCTGTAGAGGCAGTGTCAAAGCCTGCGTGCAACCAGCTGCAGGCATAACACGAGCAGGTGGGAGGGCGCAGCATAAGCGGCATCGTGTAGCTGGTAAACGAGCGCTGAAACACGCGACTGGCAAGCAGGGTCTGACCTTTTCTAGGATGACTCTAGATCATGGCAAACTTCACCAGCCTCACGCTCTGCTCTCCAGCCTTCTCACGATTTTGTCTTTAATGCTCCATCAGTGCTACATGTTTCCTATGCAATTGAGAGCATTTTGTTCCTCATGAAATGTTTTGACAAAGTGATCTTTTCATGCAGTATGTAGAGTATAAGATGCGTATAGTGTTTTCCCCTCATATAATTAGAATGTTAAGTCTCAACTCCGAAAGTAAGTCTACATTTCCCCACCACCACTTCCCTTCCCCTTTGCTTGGGGTCCTATTTACAGCTCTGAAACTACACAATATTCCTAGGGGTGTCCTGGCACTTTTGCAAGTGTAATTCATTTCTGGAGAGAAATTGTTTAATAGCCAATAGCTGTTCTCCCAAAATAGTCTAAATAGATAAGGGGGGAAGAGAATCAATACACCCAAATAAGGTCATCTGCTGCCAGTGATTAGGACACAGAAATAGTCCTTTACAAAGCAGCAGAGTGTAGCACAAGTTATTTTGATGGATTACAAAGATCCAAACTAATTTTGGTAAGGTAAACATTGGTGCGAGATGACTGTGGTCCCATCCATGCCACACTGGAACAAAAGTAGATGCGTTTCAGTCTGGATTAAATAAAAGGCTGTCTGTTTCTAATATGCTTTGGTTAGCCAGGAAGAACCGTAGCATTTTTGACCTGTGTTTAAAAGCAGGCTCTAGCTGACATTCAAAAGCATTTATTCAAATGCTTTCTGTATGTTTGCTCTGATCGATGCTAGCTGGGTGTATTGTGACAGAAACCCTTTTTTTCTGCATTCAAGCATAAATGCTGTTTGCAAACTTATTTTAAAAGACTTTTGATATGCCCTTAGACTTGCGTATTGATGTAGTCATCTGTCCTGAGCGTGGTTCCTCATTGTCCTACAAATAATTATTTGCAGTGTCTCCCAAGTGAACCAGGAAACAAAGGAACTTCTGGACAGACCAGGCTGCTTTTTTTATATGGCTCCTCTGCTGCTCTTGTCTTCACTTAATAGACTATGTTTTCTTGAGTACTTCAAAATATTTCTCATTGCTTGCCCTCAGAACTGACCCTGTGACCTAGGAATCAAGCAAATGTCATGTTAGTGACTACTAATTAGTGAATCTGGCGAGCTGCTTCTCCTGCCCTTTCAACCCTCTCCAGCAGCAGCTCAAGCTGTCACATGTATCATACAAAGAAAACAAGCCTTTGCTGTGGTGGTTTTTTTTGTCCGAGAAAGTAGCACAAGCTTGATTTGACTACAGATGAGTATGCACATTGAGTAGAAGTTAAGTTACCATGCAAATTTTGCATTTCTTTCCCTTTTTTTTTTTTTTTCCCTGCATGTACAGAATATACTGCTTTGTTTATCAGGGACTTGCTGATTGTGTGTGTATTTGTTGGCATGCGCTGTTTCAGGAGGCAAAAGGAATGCTTGTTTCTTTTTCCTCTTTTCTTTTTCCTTACCATTTTTTTTTCCAATTTTTGAAAGAGGATATTTTAATTTTCACATCTTAGTATACAATAAACAGTCTAACTGTGACTGCTTTTTTGTATGTTTGCTGAACAAACTTGCTAGTGGGATTTAGCTGTAGTATCCCTTGATCATAGCTGTAGTACCCCTTGATTGCCTCTTGAGTCATCATATTTTTTGGGGACTGACCACTATAATTATAGGGATAAGATGCAGTTCAGTCTCAACCATGTCACAGAATTGTTTGAGCAAATAAGGTTAATTTCTTTTTTATTATTTGCAATTTTATAGGTCTTTAAAATAGAGGTGCTAATGAGTGGAAGAAAGCATTTTGTTGAGAAGAGATATAGTGAATTCCATGCTCTTCATAAAAAGGTAATTATCTCTTTCTTTAGTAGATGTAGCTTTGTTTTACCTTAGTTGATACCTTTTCCCTCACTTGAAATTGTTGCCTATCTTAAATATGTCTTGTGATTGAGGTCTTCTCAAAAGACTTGACAACTTCTCTGTTTCCTTGGGAGGGACTGTGGAATTCTCAGAGGTTTCTTACTGTCATTTTCTTTTCATATGTTGTTTGTATGCTGTACTCCTAAAATGCTTTGCCCGTGGCATTTTTTTCTTTTGTGAAATCATGAAATAAGGCTCATTCCTGTAGCAAATAAATGATTTTAGTTTTTATCTAATTAGGCAGATAGTCTCTTAGTTGTGAAGATTTGTATTGCTAGCCTGCCAACTGTTGCTAACTTGTATACACCCAGAAGCTGGAAATACAAAAGATCAAACAGACCTTCTCATTCCTCTGCTCATTGTAGAATGAATGAGATACAAAATAGCTGTTTAGTTTATCTACAGATTTATCTTATTGAAGGAAACAAATTGCTTTCAAAGTTGGTTAACCACTAACTGTTCCTTAAATTGTTTTGATGAGTGTTGAAGTGTATTTTCTCCCCTAGGCTTCACTGGATGTGGCTTTTACAGCTGTGCACCTGTAGGGCAAGTTTTACATCTCTTTTGCCTTATAGGGGCCTCTTAATGTGACTCTTAATGAGACCTCTGGAAAAGCAGTAATTTCCCAAGTATGGGGTCAGGAGGAAAAATGCCTTGTCAGTCCTCCTTGCCCAGGATATGGGTCACAGGACACTTGTGTGTGCAGCTCACCTGGTTTTACTGGTGCTGTGTGCCTTGCTAAGAATAAGCTCTGTCTACCAAAGGCAGCAAGAAACGTGGGAAAGAGCCCAGGGACTTTGCACCTGGCATTGCAGGGCTGCAAAAGCAATTTTGCTGGTGGTCTTGAAGACATGCATTGGGGTGGCTTTATGCAGGTGACAAAGAAAGTGGGTGTTGCCAACCCACATGGCATGGGAACATGGATCTATGCAAACATGGAGCAGCAAAAGGCAGCTCGCGTAGCTTCAGCTGTGCTTTTGGCCATTAGAAGTTCAGAGAGGAAGAATGTTTTTGGCTTTACTGCACAGTAATTGGTATCTGCATATATTTCTTAACTTTTGCTAGCTCCCATTGTGGTATGAACTGCCATTTTTTAATATGCATTTTCTTGTTTTCTGTTTTACTTCAAATATCTCTCAGTTATTTCCCCCTTGTGTTTATACTGAATGCAATACTTCATGAGCAATAATGTCAGATTCAGTGCCACCACCACCTGGTTACCCCCCAGCACATTACGTGCATGTTCTACTGTATGTGTCAGAGCAGTCCTGTACTTGAAAGTAAAGCAGGTGAGCAGAGATTACCAGTGCAAATAAAATAAGAAATAATAAGAAGGGAGAATGAAAATTTATATAATTAAAACAAATCTACACAAATATACTGTTTTCTCTAGTTGTTGTCTGATTTCACTGTAATTTTTGGAATTACAAGATTTAGTTCCCATCTGTGTCTCATTTTAGGCTTCACTTAGACGTTTCCTTCACTGATCTACGCAGATGTTGTGAGGGTTTGCAGTCTTACTCGAAGCTTCATCTCCTTTCATCCCTTTGCAATAGCTCCTCTCTTTTAAAGATTTCTCCTTAGAACATCAGGAAAACCATTAGTGATGGCCCCTTTCACTCTTCTCATAAACAGCAGCAAAATAAACAAACCTGAAAAATGGAATTTCTGTCAAAACGTTCTTTGAAGCACTGTTCAGTAGGTTACATCTTACACTTAGTCTGCTTGATATCTGTTTAATATACTCCGTGGGCTTGGCTAACTTTTTCCTGTTTGTTTTCTGTACAGATGCAAAGCACCCAGCATATTTTGGCACAGCATACTTCATTGCTTAATGTTGTTTTTAGTTGTAGTAAAATTTTCAGTAAATAAAGTGGTTGAACAGCTCCTGCTCTGAGATTGTTGTATTGCTTTCAGAGGTGCAAAAATACAGAAAAGAAGTCTACTACAGTAATATGCTAGGCCATTTAACTTTTTTTTTCTTTTTTTCCCCCTCTTTGTTTTGTGATAGAAGTGGAAAATCTCAAAGTGCTGTTAAGAAAGTACATTTGTCTTTTCTACAATGTCATAATGTGAATTCAAACAGTTTTTACTGAAGAATGTTTTAGACTTATCTCACTCATACAAACAGTTTACATCATGTAGCACAATATCCACTGATCTCGACATAGCAAATGTGCTTTCAGCATCCCAGCAGAGCATTTTGTTCTCTGTTCATCTCCTCCTATATAATTTAGCATGCAAATTTCATGCAGAGAGCTGCAAGTACATGGAATTTGGGAAGATATCTTAAAACTTACCAAGTATTCAAAGTGTATTTAGTGTTGGAGATGTCCGAGTGAGTAGAAAAAGCCTTTGCAGGGAACAAAATTATTGGAGTACTGGAGGAGTGGTGGTACCATTTGCCTGATAAGAACGTATAGTACACTAGGATTATATGCAGGAAGAACTCAATTACTCTTGTAAAGGAAGAGATTATTCATTCATCAGAATACTAATTAATGGTCTGATATTTAAAAAAAAAAAAAAAAAGGGGGGGGGGCAAAAAAAACCCTCCAAAAACAAGGCTTCTGTGCTCACTTTTGTCTACATTCCAACTGAATGAAAAAGTTACGTGACAGCATCTACTGCTGTGAATTTTGCTTTATAGGTTGCATAAGCCCTTATGTTTTGGCCTGGTATAAATGGCAAGGTAGACTTTTCAGGCTCTGCACCTTTCACATTACAGTACAGTTTTCAAATCTGCACTTTTTTTTTTATTTGTTACTTTCATTCAGACAGATCTTCAGGAGTAAAACTCTTTATGTCTGTAAAACATAGCTTAAAATGCAACTGTGTATGTATATATATATTCTTTTATATTCTTTTTCCTCTATTTGCATTTTAATGTACTGGTAGTTGTTAGAAGCTGGCAGTGTTATGGCAGCTGCAGTAAAATCTGCAAAAATACTAAGTTTTACGTACTTGTTTGCAGGTTTTTTTGTAATTTAGAAATAATGACAGTGTAAATTGTAATCATTTTTTACACTTGGAAAAATAGTTCTTTAGTGAATTACTTAAGATCTTTTAAACTTGAGGAAAAAAGACTAAGCCATATTTCAATTGGGCATTAACTTGGTGTTACAAACAGGAAGACAGGAGGGACAATTATCGTTCTCAGATAAATAAGTTTTTCCTGAGCTGTGGATAGTGTGCAGCAACATATAACTAACATAGGGAGACTCAGATTTGCATAATATACTTCGATATTATAATAATCATTATGCATAAGATATTGTTGAATTATTATAAGCTTAAGAAAATGTGCTTATCACTCATTCTTTGTACGTAAGTATTGCATGGACATTATAGCTATGCACAATACGTACGCTTTTGTGTTTTAGCCTTGTTTATTGGCTTTATATCACAGAGCCACAAACTGAAAACAGGTTGTTAATCATCAGCTGAAGTGTCAGTTGCAAAGTATTTGTCTTGCAAGCAGTTAAGCCTTAGTGGAAACTTGTGTTGTTTTGGATTTGTCTCTCTTCATCTGGAGCAATTTGTTACTCGTCTGCAAGCACTGTCATGGTTAGCAGCAGCTGCGGTTCTAACTTCTTCAACATTTCTGATAAATTTAGATATTTAGAGGAAAAAAAAAAAGTTTTCTGTGCTTCAACTTGTACATGAGTTAGTAAAACCACATGCTTGGAATTTTTTTTTTTTCCATTTCACGTTTAATTGTAATGTAGCGTGGTTAAGAAATAAGGAAGCTGAAAAATGTTTCCAGAGCAATTGAGGTTTCCTTGTTGGAGCTTCGTTACTTGTGACTGTAGAGACGTTGATATGTTGGCGCTGTTTTTTCCTATAGTGACATCTCAGCAAGCTCAAAGATGAAATGTAAATTCTCAGTCTCCCGTGGGTAGGCATGTCAAAGTCAATTTTGAGTTTCTTTTCTTGCATTCGTTGCCTCGTGTTTACTCAGAGGCAATATCCAACAGAAAGACTGTCTAATGTCACCTTCTATTAAAATTCAATGGAGTTGGTTCCAGTTATTTTTTTTCTTTTTAGTTTTGAGGAATATGTTAATTTTTTTTTGGTTTTGAAAATGTATTTTTCTCTAGAAATAGGATTGTTAGTGTTGTCAGAATATATGTTTGTGTTTTTATATAGACATGTATATGCATATACACACATACTTCCTTATAAAGCTATAAAAGCTTTTCCTGGGGAGATCTTCAGAGGAACAGTTGTAGAGTTTCTGGAAATCTATTCAGGAGCAATCCTGCTATTGCTCTGTATAAGCTATTAAACATAACTGAGCTTATTGCTGCAGCTGAGGAGCTAGATGTATTTTGCTCACTTGGTTACTAGCTCTCCAGAAAACTGTTTAGTTCCCTGCTCTCAACTTTTCCCAGATGTTCGTAAGTGTTGAAATGTGTAGCGAGAATTTTCTGCAGTGGTGCTTTGTCGCTGTCCTTATCGAGGTAGTGTCCCAGTGCTTCGCAGCATGATCCCAGGCTAACAAACAGGGAACGGAAGCAGCAGATGGGTTGATGTTACATTTCCAGGGCATTCACGGCTGAGCTGGGCATTGAGTCTCTCTCCTGTGTTCTGGATGCTCTTTCCTCCTCAGCTTCTTCCCGACGCGGCTGTGAGCCAAGCTGAGCCGCTGTGCCACAGCCTTGTGCACTGCTGTGTGGAGTGTGCAGTTGTTGCTACTTTGCTTTGGTTCAAACTGAGACTTCTCTCTGACCTGGGATCCTTGTTTTCAATGTTTTCACCTATCTGATGTAGTTTTCTTGTAAAATTTCCAAGGTTTTGTCAGGAGAGTTCCTCTTAACTAAGAAAGGCAGCTGAGCAGGAGAACTTTTGTATTCTGTATGAAGAGATACAATAAAGTCTGTTGCTTATTTCACTGAGTTTGATGGTGAGTAACACAACTGCAGTACTGTTATCTTTTTATGTGTGGTTATTTTACCTGTTCTTTCTCATCTTGGCCATAATTGTGTTTAGGGGGTTGTCCGGACTTCTCTCTGTCTCCCCGTAGCTCAAGAAGTTCATAAGAACGCCAGAGATCCCTTCGAAACACGTCAGAAACTGGGTCCCAAAGGTCCTGGAGCAGCGACGGCAAGGTCTGGAGTTGTACTTGCAGGTGAGTCTGTCCTTTCGTCAGCATGGCAATACAAACTAAGTCTGTTTTCAGGCTGCTGGTATCCAAAGCACAGTGAAGATACATAGGAATAGGTGACTCTTACACTGATGAGCACTTTTAGGTGTGGGAAATAAGTTACATGCTTTGCAGCAGTGATAATTTCTGTTCACCTAAGAAGAGTTCAGCCGCTTAAAAAAGGGACTGTTTGTATTTTATTTCTAGTTCTGCCATTGACTGCTATTTAGCTTTGGAGAATATGCTAGTACCTCATATTCTGGTGCCTGAAATGGAGAGAATAATATTATTCTTACCTTTTTTAAAAAAAAAAAAAATGACTGTACCAGTGAGAAATGTTGCAGAAAAGGAATTAGGCAGCTTTATTAATGATCGCTTTTTAAAGGGAAGAATCAACTCAATAAATTATTGTCCCTATACAATAAGTGCCTGTGTCTGAATTACTAATTTATTTGATCTAGTCACCTGTCATGTCATATTCCTCTCCTTCTGTTTCATCACTTGCATTTAAAGGACCAATTTTTACTCCTTTGGCTTATAATTCTGTCACAAACTCTTAGAGTTTTCAGGAATGACTTGCATGTATAGACACTTGAAGGACACTTATAGGAGTGGTAAATCTCTTCCTTCTTAGTAGATGGTATTTCTGCTCTCACTGTGATTGTTTGAGGCAGTTTTCTATTACAGTTTGGAGAAACATGGTCGTGCAGTTCTGCAGCCAGATTTCTACACACGTTTCCAGTTCATGGTGCCTTCAGCTGTACTGATGCAAGTGTTGCTTTGTTAAAGAGGATCTGAAATTATCTGAGATGAAAGATAATTGTTTTGGGAGGAAGATGAGGGTGGGGGTAGGGGTTTTTATTTATATTTGTATTTGGATCATTTCAGAGATCTGATCTGTGTTACCATGCACAGTTGCAGAGGTACAGCTGGAGAAATGGTGAACTGCTACACAGTGGACAGTGAACTGACATCAAAGAAAACGGGTGTTGGGCCTGCACTGCCCATGAACCTCCCTGATTATCAGGAACATTTGTAAAAGAGAAGACTGAGAAGGAGAAAGGAATTGTAATGTGATGTTAGAAAGTATTAAACATCTAGAAAAAGGGTTTGGAAATAAGGATAAAAACATGTTTTTTTTCCCCAAATATGGGGACAGTTTCACATAACATTGTGGGTTTTGTGTGTATATAATTTTTAAAAATATTTCATTATTATTGCTGCATTGAAACATGTATTCCTTTTTTTCTTTTGTTGTGCTCTGTGTTTAATTGTGATGTTGGCATCTAAAAAAAAAAAAGCTCTTGGAAAGACTTGTATTGGAAAAGCAGTAGGTCTTTTTTGTTTTGATGGGTATCAGCATACCTTGCTCCTTTGTTGGTATGTTTATCTCTTACAGACTTTTGCTGTCTTGCAGACTTTTTCTTTTTTCCTGATTTGCATAAATTATCTTTTGAAAATTATCAGTGTTAGGGCACTTGTATTTATTTCAATTATGAGATTGATTTTGTTGCCAAGGTATACAGGTAGATATGTTAGCACTATTTAATTGCTGATAATCTGTAAAAGCATATCCCCCTCTACTGGAGGAGTTGATTAACTAACTTTGCAAATTTAGTTGACTTTTCCCCTGTTGTGGCACCACTGGATACTA